CACATACACACTCTCTCTCTCTCTCTCTCTCTCTCTCTCTCTCTCTTTCTCTCATTATAGAAGAACGCTGGAAGAACGATCCAACGAGGATATCATCGGCCAGGAGGATAGTATCCTCTCTCGCGTATTTGCAATACACGTTGCTGAACACGATGGAACATGACCGATAGGATTTATCCCATGTTGAAACATCTCCCGTAAGTCAGTCTTGAAGGATATCGTCGTTGTCGTTGCAGTCGCGCAGAACAATCTCGAGAACCATCGCTCGTTCTCGAGGCCGGACGATGCAGCCGCGACAATGACGACAACGGCGTCAAGGAAGAAGGACGCCGCGGATCAGACCTTCTGATGGAATTGCTGTTGCTGGGGTTGCTGTTGCTGCTGCTGCTGCTGCTGCTGCTGCTGCTCTTGCCGGCTTTCATCGGTTTCGCAGGGCACCACGGTGATGTTGGACAGATTGCTACTGCTCAGATTACTGCTCACGTTACTACTGGACTCGGAATAACTGGAAAAGGGCGGTTTGCTGACCGGCATCGACGTCGACGACGGCGTCGTATGGCTCGGGAACATCTTGAACATCGAGCGTGCGGTGTTCAATAGCAAATTGCTGCTGCTAGGGCTCTGACTCCGCGTCACCCGATCGCCGGGCATGTCGAGCAATCCCGGGTGGAGGTGCTGGCTGCTACTGGGCGTCCGGTAAGGCGGCGGACTCTCGCTGTCAAACACCGTGCGATTTGGCGGCGCCCGCACGCACTTCTGATAAATCTCGCTCTCCTAGAAATAAAAACATTTGTTAATGAAAAATTAAAAATAATTGCGGACTACCCGCGTTGCCCTTTAAAGTTCAACATAATGAAACTTAAACTATAATACGGTAACATTTATATTTTATATAATCAATAAATACAGGAATACAAAGAATATTTCTTTTGTTCGAAGTATGCCTTTTTACAAAACTCCAAACCACCTATAAAGATTAGAAGTCTATAAAAGATGCAAGATATTCTTGTAGAAATAATTAATGCAGTAAAAATTCAAGACGAAATTGTAATCATTTAAGCAATTCAAAATAAAAGAATATACTTCTAATTGTTTTATGATGTGAAATATATAATAGAAAATTAATGAAGTAATAAGTTTTTTTACTCATATTATATATATATTAAGTTCAGGTTTCAGATTAAATAATAATATAAAAAATATAAAGATACCTGAGAAATACCTAAGAAATATAAAGACACCTGACATAGATGCATCGCCTATTTTTTAAATATTGAAATTATAATTTAAAATTAAGTGATCATTTCAGTTTGGGATTTTAAACAACTAAATCCTATTTACCACTCCCGTTTGATACACCTTTAGACTATAATAGACTATAATTTCTAGAATGCAAATCTATATCGCGATTACGGTGATTGCAATAGCCTGAAACTGTGCTTCAAAGGTGGTTTGAAGTTTAACATTCTTGCTTGCGTAATGATGACGAGGCATAACGAGTACTTGAACCTGAGAATTCGGAGGAACAGGAGGGACAGGAGGGACAGGAAGCGAATAAATAAATATGTTTTTCGGTCATTCTCCCGGCTAAAGTAACAAGGAAATCGTGTTATTTCACATTAACATATCGCAAATGTAATCTCACAGCGTAAGTAGTTGTGACCGTAAAAGCAATACTCATCGAAAAACCATACAGTGAACGAAATATATCACAGTGAAAAGTAATAACTACTGGAATTGTGGAGAAACCAATCGTAAACTGCTACGTTTCAGGAAATAAAAAAAAAAGAAATCTTTTCGTTAAAATTTTTCCGGCTATCCACCGAGATCATCGAGCCACTCGATCGCGTGATTTTCCGAATATTTTCATCCCGCGGATCGCAACTCTCACCTGTTCCTGATTGCGGAGGTGAAGATCCGGATGCGCTCCGTACGGATGCTCCTCGCCGTCCGGGAGCTCGAGCCGCGGCGGCAGATTGAGAGCGAGATCATGCCGGACGCTTTCCGCGCGGATCGCGCGGTCCCTCGCCGCGGCGATCATCACCGCCTGTATATCTCGACGCCTTCTGGCATCATCGCCATCGCCGCCGCCGCCGCCGCCGCCGCCGCCACCGACTCCACCGCCGACCGCACCGGCGGTCGGGTCATCTTCCGCCGATGCACCACGTCCGCTGCTGCCGACCTCCATTCCTTGGCTCACCGACAGCATCTGCAAAGTCGACGATCGAATTTATGCGTCTGCGAAAAAGACGCGGGATAGAGCGCGGTACGTTCGTTATCGCGCAAAAACGCGTCATTGCGAGGCAAAAATTTCGCCGCTGTTAGTATCTGCGCGAGACGCGAAAATATTTATTATCGTTCTATATTTTACAGAGCGGTAAAAATGAATTACTTATATTCGATAATACAAGCTCGGAAAGTTCACGGTGAAATGTCACCATTTCATCGGAAATGATTCGTGACGATGTGTGATGAATTTTGATAAGCCACGTTAAGAGCTGTCGCATTCTCCATTTGTCGGTTTTTCGCCGATAAAAGTTTTCGTAGAAAATCGAAAACAGCTCTTAACAGCGATCAAGGCCTTTCACAATTATTTCATCGTGAATGTTTCACAAAGGTAAAAGATGACAAAGATAAAAGGAAACGTCTAAAAAAATTTTCGTTTGATTCCGGCATCCGAAAGAGTATGACAGAGATGTTTGTTCGTCGTGCCGTAATAAGGCGTATTACGTGACGTGGTTGCTATTTATTCGGCGCCGAGGAAAGGGTCGCGATCGCGAGCCCTCGACAGTACGGTCGTGAATAAATTAGTGCAGAAAATGAAATTGCTCGACCATTCGATCATAAGAGTGTCTGGTGGTTACGTTGTGGATATAGATATTAGCGCGCTGTGCCGTTGCACTCGGTTCACGGTAAATAATTGCATATAAATCATATCATTATATCCGCGGGATTAATTCCTATGCGACATTGATTATTCATACAATCGAACGAGTACTCTAATACTTTGATTCGCGATTGTCGCCGTCGCGAAACACGCAGCGCAAAACAAAAATGATCAACGTTTATTATATTTATATACATGCGTACATATAATAAATGCGTGTATTTTCGTATTTTTCTAATTTTTATTTGGAGCAACATTGATCTATAAAGGAAAATTAATTACTGAATCGAACGTTGTGACGCTCGTAACGTTCGCAAATTCAAAAATTATGCAAGTAACTTTAACAAACTTTTCGTTAAGGGAACCTTAACGAAAACCAAGGTTTAAATTAATTATCTCTTTTTTTCCTTGGATCTTGTAGATTATTCTAAATTCCGCGATGTAATTGCAAAGTCTGTATAACTCAGACAATTGTTCTCGGTTAAGCCTCGATTAGCCGAACTCAATTGTTTTCTCTTGTTTCCAGCGAAAATTTCTTCGTTCGTTCCCTTCGCGGATCCGGTTTAAAACATCTGCTCACGCACGCACGCACGCACGCACGCATACGAGACGCTCGTAAGAGGCGGACCGAGAGACGTCGCATCATGACAGTTGGCGGTACCACAGGATGGCGTGGATCGTGCACACCTCGAGAAGTAAAACCGAGAGAAGGTCGTACGAGCTTCAAGTGCCGACGAGCACGGCGAAGGAAGGAGGTCGCGTGCAAACGCACTCGCGACTCGCACGCTTTCCTTTTCGTTCGTTGCGTTGCGTTTTCGACGGTTCGTCCAATTGGCCGTAGATCGAAATAGACCGATCGCGTGCGACGACCGTGAAAGCCATATCGCCGTATGTCCGAGAATACTCCAATCACGAGGTTTATATGATCATATTTAAAGATATTCATAAATAGATATTCTACATTTTTAATACGTTTAACCTATCGATATATCTTTGATATTTCGCTCTATTATATTTTTTCCTTTTTTTCCGGACATATGCATTTCTGCTTCGCTGTGTTAATTAGAAAAATAATTTAAATATTTCAGTAAAATGAGCTCTATATATCATTATCGATTGTCAAGTTTAAATGACGGATGAGACATTTGATAGAAATAATTCTTAAATTTCTAATTATTATAATTAAAACGATATTTACGATTATATATCATGTGCGTATTGTATTTATGTAACATTATATTTTTTAACAATGAGAAGCTAGAGAATTCGAGATCGAGTTTATTCCACTAATTTCACTTCACAAGCGTAAAGATCGGCTGCAGCTGCGGACCGAGGTTAAGAATGTTTTCTATCGATATGACGCCTTTTTACGACGCCTTGATCGCGATTTAACGAGCGAGAACCGACGCGGAAGTCTTTCTCTCCCGCGAACATTCGCCGGCACGTGCGCGGGTTAACGACTGATGGGTCGGTCGCGTTAAAGCTTTAAAGGGGGTTTTCAGCATCCCTCCGCTCGCGTTCTCGCGTTCTCGTCCGAGGCCGTCGAAAGGGAAAGCGGAAGAGGGACGCGGCGGCGGCGGCGGCAGCGGCGGAGGCAGCGGCGGAGGCGGAGGCGGAGGCGGAGGCGGAGGCGACGGAGGCAACGGCGACGGCTACTGGCTGCTACTGCGACGACAACAGAGCGAGGGAGGGTGTGCGGTGGAGACAGCAACGACAGGAGCGACTGACATACAGAGGGATGAATGCACGTCCGCGTACTACTCGTATCGATCGACTCGCAAGCGTAACATCACGTTTACGTTCGTTGCCAATGTAATGCAGACGCGCGGGAGAGAAAGACCCTTCGATCGAGAAATGTAGAATTATTTTTAGAAGCGCTTCATCAAATTGAGTGTTCTTTGTTGTGTTTCGATAACGCTATCGCGCGATACGCGTTTTGTGCAAGTTGTGATTATTATTTCATTGCAAATTCTAAAAATAATTATATAGGATGATAGTCGTCGATACTCTCCTTTCGATTTCAGATAACTTCAGATAACTCTTTTAGAACTTGTTATTATTATTTAATGTATCTCAAAATATCAAAATAATTTTTGTAAATCGATGTAGCTTGTTTATTCTAATTTAATCACATTGAATATTATGTTACTATTTTTCTTAGAATAATCTATAAGAAATAATTAGGTGATTTACTAATATCTTTCAATTGTCATTTTCTACATTTCTATAAAGGAGAGAGAGTTGAATTCTCTTGATAAAATTAAAGGGAAGGATATCTTGGTAATGCTCTTTTGGGGAAAAACGAGATTGCTGTCAGCTTCAAAGAGAAACTCGTCCGAGCGTATCTCAAAACGAGAACCAATGTCATTCTTCGTAAAAGGATTTATTCGTGCTGAATATAGGAATACTATATTTGGTACATATTCCTCCGGCTCTTTCCGAGTTACACAATTCTGAAACTTTAAAACAGAGTGACAGAGTAATTGATGGATCATTTAATTAGAATTATATCACGTATTATATTGTATCGCAGATGTCCAGACATAACACGTCTCAACCGAAAATAGTTCATTGGCACTCGAAATATTAATTTCCATACATGCTTTCATTTCCGCAATTAAAATCTATGATGAAAATAAGTTCAATAGATAAAGAATTTCTTCGACCTCAAAATTCCGTAATATTACATAAGAGCAATTTCTAAAAAAAAAAAAATCAGATCTTCTCTCGTTTAAATAAATTCAGATAACTAACAATATTAAAGACAGAAATTATATTTTTATTTTTTACACCGTTTGTTTCTTAGACAATGTACCGTTACATCTCCCGTCTCCGGTCATGTTGCATTTTATAACGATCGAATTTTTCGCCGGACGATGCGGGGGGTTGGGTGAGAAGCGAGGCCAACCCGGATACGTGAGGACGAACGAGAGAAGATGAAAGAGAGACGAGTGTGAGGTCGTTCGGTCGTTCGGTCGAGCGGAGATAGAGTTAACCGGCGAGCGGCGAAGGGACGGAGATCGCTCGCTCGCTCGCTCGCTCGGGCTGATGCCGCCGCTCGAAATGCCATAGCGGCTCGCAAAAGCCCGTGGACGGTGATGTTGTAACAGACTTTATGGCCCTCCCCGAACCACGCTGGCACCTCGGTGGACCATAAAACCGCTAGTCGCGCTCGCAGTTGCACGGCACAGCCCGCTCGATACCGGGGCCGCGCTCGCTCGAAACGTGACACCGCCGTCAGTCGACGACGTCGTTGTCGTCGTTTACTGGCTCGATTGAAATTGTAGTTTCAGAAAAGGGTAAACTTCGTCGCATCGATCGCGGGTATTATACGCCCCGAGAAACTTACAATCCCCTCCTCCCTTCCTCCCTTCCTCCCTCCCTCCCCCGCCTGTCGAGCTACCTTTTCCCGGGAGAGGGTGGACGTCAAAGTCATCCGGCGACGATAAGCGACGATATTTCGAGGAACCTCGTAGATGTAACTTCGTCCGAGCACGCCTCCAATACGCACGATGCGAGTTTACGCGATGCGACGGAACCCGCCTCGCCGCCAACGTTTATTTTCGCCGCCGAGATAACGGGACAATAACAGCGAATACCGAAATCGAAAGCGAAGCTGCATCATGCTCGCGAGTAATTGGCCGCTGATTAGCCAATAATTATAAATAATTGGTCCATTTACCCGATTGACCGCTCGATCGCACCGCTTGACCAACTTGAGAACAAAAAAGGAATATCCGTTTTTTGCCGAAAAGAGGAAAAAGTCAAAGTGGTCCGCTGGATCCTTTCAGAAAAAGAAAGTGTTTGCGATACGCGAAATTATACGCACGAAAACGACTTTTTTATCGTCGTTTCTTTTTCGTCGCGGGTTTTTCTCCAGACGGAGACGTTCTACCAGAAATAATTTCTTCCAAAAGGTGTTCGCGAAAAAAAAAAAGCTGTAATATTTGTTACCTACACAGTTCGATCAATGTCGCGACGCGCGGCGCTCGTGCTGACAAACAACGATTAAAATATACGTCAAGCCAATCGCGCATCGTCGATAAAGCGTGTATAATTTTTGACGTCGCCGTGCGCATCTCTTTTTAGATTACGCAATCTCTCCGTCGTCGTTTTAATCTCGCGTCCGTTGCAAATATTATGTTCGAGCCAAGTGCATATGCATCCGCCGTCTTCAGATACCCCGTTGCGCGAAAGCGCGGCGTGTAACATTGAATAAGAATAAAATTTCGCAATAACGCTCGCGAAAACATTGCCTCTTAAAATATTGCGGGAGATATATTTCCGAATTCACCATTTCCACGTCCCACCCGTTAGAAAGG